GGGTCGACAATCATCGACTGAGGGGTTTGAATATTTGGTTCATCTACCGTCTCAAGGTGTGACGTTCGCATATTTGTGGTTTTCAAGTCTAACATCTTCATCTTCATCCGTAGTACTCTTTGTTATCATCTTCTGTGGTACAAAAGCGATACTGAAGACTGTAAGTCGAATGTGGAAATGAAAACTTTCATCACTTATGGAAGAAGTCTCACACGCAACCATCATTTTAGTTTCACCACGCTCTTTCCATGGGATTTCCCAGTGCCGTTTCCAATGCCTTTTCCAGTGCCTTTTTCACTTTCGCATGGCCCTGCCAGCAAGAATCAATTTTTGGTAAGTTTCTTTGAGCAAAAGACAAGGTTTCTCTCTTTTTGTATAAGAAGTGAGTCACATAGCAAAATCAGTGGCAGGCGCACGCAAACTTCGAAAAGGCATTGGAAAAGGCACTGGAAAGGCACTGAGAAAGTGCATGTCAACGTAACAGAACAGTAGTCGCCGTGCACACCCAGTACCGTAGATGGACGAAATATTCAATCCACTTCAAACCACTTGGACCCCTTCTACCCCAAAACTCAAAGTTAGTGAGCCTGCCAGAGTCTTTCGGCGAATGGACGAAACAAATCAAACCCTGGCAACACAAATTCAATGATGTCGTGTTCAACATTGACCTTTGGGGGTCGACAATCATCGACTGAGGGGTTTGAATATTTGGTTCATCTACTGTAGTATGTATGCCTTCGGAAATGAGGGTCTCGGAGTCCACCCCAAGAACGCCCTGCGAAGCTGGACGGTCCCATCGAATGGAACGGGGGAACCTGCGAGTTTTGTACTGAAAATCACCTATAAGGACTACAACCACCATTAATTCAATCAAACGTTTGAATCCTGAACAACCAAGGGTTACTAGACAAAGCCAGGATCGACCAATATCGACCAATTTTTAAAGTGAAGTAATTAGTAATATTCATGACTCGAAGGCTAGGGTGTAGATTCCAGTGGTGTTTTCCAGCAAAATGAGCCTGGAGCCTCCATCTCTTTCAGATGACCGACCTGAGCTCCTAAGGACATCAACCCCCACGAGCTCAAAAGGGTGGATGATAATTCCGAACGGCGCCCCGGCCGAGCGGTCTGGGCCCAGACTGGGGCCTCCGTCCAGAAGGGCTCGAAGGGGCAGAATTGCTCCTGCAGAAGGTGGGTACTGGCGGCCTCCTCGGGGTTCGGAGGGTTCGCCAAAAACACTAAAAAAAAACCAATTGAACGAGTGTTGTGGGCGCGATCTGCTGTGGAGGGCTGTGAGTATTTTGTTGTGAGGGTTGGTTTGGAGGGCGGTGGAGCTCAAGCTGCAAAGGTGAGGGTTGTTTGAAACATGTTCGAATAGTCTTTTCATGAAGAATGCGGGTGTGTATGATTGTGTATCAGAAGAGACCCCCGTGGCTGAACTCGGTGCAGTGCCGACAAGGGATTCAGTCATGCACCCCTGTGATTCGTCATGCTTTACCCTCTGATCAGAATCTTTGGGGGGGTAGCCCCATTGAGTTCAAGATTTGTTGAGGTGCAATGGCAGTGATTTTGTTACATGGGTGATCTCATTCAGCTAACCAGCACCTTCAAAGGGGTCACCTGGCTGGAAGCCCGTTACACTACCATTCCGGAACCTCCAGACAGGACACCCCGACAGGAAGTGCTAGGAATGGAGCGGACAGACTGAAAATCATTCGGTGCGCGGTGGTGGGAGTGGGAATATCCCCATTTGGTGCGCTGTCGTGTTTGATGTGTTTGGTCCATTTGTCTCCTGACGGTGTTTTCCTTCCCATCATGAAACGCCATGAAACGACTAGGTGACTAGGCATCCTTCCTCATCAATGAAGAGACTAGTCGACTATTCCCTATACTTGGGGGCCCGGATTTTCACCTGAGATGCTGCCAGGATTCTAGACCTTCTGGAAATGTTCGATAACACCCAGTGTGGCTATGAAAAAGCATCCGAAAGGGACGAAAGGGTCGGGCCAGCCATTTGGCTGCGACCCTTGGACCCTGGGATATGTCTTGGGACCGTTGGGACATGTTGGGACTCAGGTTTGAGCTGGTTTTCATCATGAAGATGTACTGGCTGCCTGGGCATGTTTGGAACGATTTGGACCTGACGTACCGCAACGATTTGGATGATGTTTTCGGTGGTGACAAGTACCTGGACATAGCAGAAGAGTCGAAGAGTCACTGACGGTTGTTGTAGTGTTCATGAACTGAGGGATCGAGAAGAATCTACAGCATGACTCCAGCTTGCATTTGGCCGTTCTTTCTGTCAGAGGCCCGCACTCACTTCAATCCCACATTGGGTCGCCCTGTTTGGTCGCTCGATGTTGGCACCGGACGGGTCCACCGGTCGGCCGGTGCGACCCATGGCGCACAAACCAACCCTTAAGCCCGAGTTGAAGTGGTTGAACTCGGAATCCATTTCTTCCACCCAAGTCGCCCTCTCCGAGGTTGGATCCCTTGCTCCACAGCTTCCCCACGAAGCTCATTCGCCGGCGTCCCGAGCCGCAGCTGAAGCCTTTTGAGCCGCCTTTACAGGTGAGCAGCGGGTGGGGGGGTTTAATGTCCGGAAATAGGAATGGAAGCGGAAAAGAGAGGCCTAGAGTCCTAGAGAGTGCAGTTGACTGGTGAAGATCCTGGTTTGCAATCGTAATCATTGTAATCATGCTACAATTAACGGTTAACAGTTTGTTATTCAATAATGTTCAAGATGCTTTGCAGGAAGTGGAGGGTATCGTGCGGCGGAAGTACAAGAATGGAGACCTCCTCTTCGTCGAGAAGGAAGGCAGAAAGAGATTGGTTTCGCCAGGACATGGGTCTATCTCAGATCGATATCTCCTATAGTCAAGAAATGTCAAAACTTTTCGTATGTCATCATCTATAGTTTAAAGTGTATCATATAATATATATATAATATCGCAAATATAGTATAAATCAATATAATATATATATAATATTACATAATATATATCAATGTCATATTTGCAACGTGTTTCTATTTATAGATGATATACTCTTCTGCTATAGGCGTCTAATCCCAGACCCCAAGCTGAGGTTTGACCCGAGTTTTCCCACCGCCAATGTCCCCAAGCAAGCGACCGACCGGTCGGTGCGTTCTGTGGAATGGGTTTCGCAGGCGATGCTCGGTACAAGAAGGCGGTGCTCATCAAGAAAGATGATTATGTGAAGATGGAGGACGGATGCGGAACGGGTTGATGGAGGACGGGTTGATGGAGGTATCCGAGTCTGCTGGCCGATGCAAAGATATTTGGAGAGGGTCAGAGCGTTTGTGTCTAAAGCAAAAAGAAAGCAGGAAAAGGATCCAGAATCAAGAAGCATGTTCTTGACAAGTTGTGCTCACGTCACAGTTTAGAGTTGATATTGTTTGCTGCCGACATGGGGGATAGAGACTTGATTGGTGCTCAATTTTTGGAGGAGCCTGCCTGGGACCATTATTTCTTTCCCAACTACACTTTCCTGAACCTCGTCAGCACCGATGGTGATGCCGGCTGTGCTAAGCTCCAGTGGTGTGGCGAGGAGCGGGCGACGGAATCGCCAACCACGCGTGGAGAGAGACCGGTATATACCTCCTGGCATTTTTACTACTGCTACTGCTACTGCTACGGCTACTGCTACTATACTACTACTACTACTACTACTACT